GCGATGACATCTCGGCCTTGGCTATCGTTACAACAGTTTGTGACAGAAAACTGCGCACAAAACCGATCAGCATGCATACTAACACAACGGCAAACTTCGCTGTCGATAAGATGTCCGGAAAAAGACAAGGGAGGTGGAGATGGTCACTTCTAACTTATTAGCCGTTGTCAGTCAGTCATAATTGACCTCAAATGCGGATGACTTCCGCTCAAGGTGAAGTGGGGAGTATCAAGGAACCACAGCGTTACACAAGTCTCTCCTCGTCCCTAATGAAATAACCTGACCAAAAAAGTGCCTCCGGCAAACGTATTGGAGAAGCGTCAGTAGGAAGGGTTCACGTGGATATCGCCAATGTTAGGGCATTTAGGAGTGAGTTTAGCAAATACAGTTTTGATAATATTCTTTTATCAGGAAGAGGCCAATACAATACGACAATAACCTTGAAAATGGACACAAAAACACTCAAACAGACCATCGACCAGAAGGGATAATCAGAGTTACGTTTACATATTGATTAGCATGAAAAAGAAATCTAAGTTACGCGGCGAATGGTAGTGTGCTAATTTTGATTTGAGAAGAATTTTATTTCGCTGACGTTTTAGAGTCACGCTCGAACCCAGCACCCGATATATGGATCTACTTCTCCTGTAATTACCAACATCATCTAAGTAACATGGAAGCGCCTGACTTGGATTAGCGAGCCTGTACTCTGACAATAGACTCAGTGGGCATGCAAGACAATTACCCGTTAAGACAGGTTGTGTCCGTGTGAAAATACACGAACTTTTGCTAAGATAATAAGTAGATGATGTTTAGAAGACAAGTATGCGTTCTCGATCTGTGCTTTACGAAATATGTTAAGATAAGGGACGCATTATGACCGAATAATACAGGTATTTACGTGGGGCCAACTCTAGGAGTTCCGTCCCTTACGGCAATCGATGCATTTGCTCACTATAAACAGCCTGACGTGCTTATAGATTATCCGGAGGTGCTAAAAGTCGTCGCTTGAAAGG